AATATTATACAACTTCAGCTTCAGGTGTACAGTGCAGTGATCAAGCCTCTTCCCCATCCATGATGTCTCACTAGCAAGACATGTGACCACCTGACACCCTACAAAATATTTACAACATTATCAATTATATTCTTCGAACTGTCTTTCATGTCCCTGTGGCAATATTGTAGTTACGTATTTATGCTGTCTAACCCCTTCCCCTTCTCCCTCATCCCCACCCCCTTGTCCAGTCTTTTTTTATGCAATTTAAACAGTATACTTAAAGATTTATCAACTGACTTAAAAAGACTTGAGAGGTATAAATGTGACCCTTAGTTGTTTTGCTTGAAGATCACCTTAAGGTTACATTAATTATTTTGTATTATTGTATCTACTCTAAAATTTTCACTTTGGGATATTTCCTTTTTGACTGAATAATAAAATGTAATGAGCTTTCTGGGGCCACTGTTGGAAGTGTTTTTTCCTTGACTTCTATTAATGTTGTCATAGTGCTTATCCAGTGTCATGGTAACTTTACTTTCAAGAATCCTGCTTAGGGTATTACTCTGTTCAGAAAACATTAGCTTCTACGAGTGTTTAACCATGAACTTTGCAGTTGTCTAACAGAGGCTATGAAACTGTGTAGTTGGACTGTACTGTAAAGCTAGTGAGACAGGGATAGATGCTCATCAGCCAAAGGAAAAATACCAGGCTATATCCAGATACAATTACATCATATTTCTTTTTTTTTTTTTTAAGATTTTTTTATTGGGGAATTGGGGAAGGGGAATAGTGTTGGGGAATTGGGGAAAGGGAACAGCCAAGTTGTTGTCCTTCAATCTTAGTTGTGGAGGGTGCAGCTAGCTCAGCTCCAAGTCCAGTTGCCATCTGGCTGCCCATAGGCAGCTCGCGGCTGCTTAGCTCAAGGTGCCGTGTTCAATCTTAATTGCGGGTGGGCGCACAGCACCATTCCATGCGGGAGTCAAACCAGCAACCTTGTTGCTAAGAGCACACGCTCTAACCATTGAGCCATTAGGCCACCTGTCAGCAGCTTGTGGCAGCTCACCTCAAGGTGCCATGTCCAGTCTTAGTTGTGGGGGGTTGGGGAGTGCAGCCCCCTATCTCATGCAAGAGTCAAACTGGCAACTTTGTTGTTAGGAGCATGTGCTTTCACTAGCTGAGCCATCCTGCCACCTGTTGGCATCTCAGCTCGGGTGCAGCTCACTGGCCCATGTGGGAATCGAACTGGTGACCCTGTTGCTCAAAGCTCGCACTCTTAACCAACTGAGCCACTCGACTGTCCCCACATCATATTTCTTAATGTTACTTAATGTTTTTTACTAGATCACACACAGTTCATCTGACATATTTATGTTTCAGATGCAGAAAGAAAAAGCTTGTATACCCTCTTTCTGGAATCTGTGCAGTCCCGTCTGCGACACGGAGAAGACCCCACAGTGCAGGTCCTCCCTGAGCAGCAGGCGGCCAGAGAGAACCTGATTAAGATGCAGTCCATCGCTGAAGGGCACCTTGAACTGGACGACATCCATGACCCACTGCTGGCAATCAACTTCTCAAGGTGAAACACAACTGCAGCGCTTGGGTGATTGAAATGGCAGAATTTGTGCAGTATCTAGTAACTGTTTATTTCTGCCAGGTAGGGCTTTCCAGCCTTTAAAATAAAAACCTTTGTAGCCTCTCCTTCCTGGGGAATGCAACACAATTGGATACTGTGTTCACTGATTTCAGATATCTAATTTGGCCTCTTTCTTGGCTTATAAAAGGCCACAGGTAACCTACCATGTGCCCTAGGCCCATGAGGAGTGCTGTCACCTACGGAAGATGCTCTTAAGTTTGGGTCATGGGTGGGCATCTGACACACAGGCAGACCCTCTGTGTAAAATGTACCTTGGCCCTTGGGCTCTTTTAGACACTTAGTGCCCACATGGTGCTGTGTTATGGGATCTCACCATTCACTGCCAGTGGCCCTAATGGTTAGACACACCCAAGGTCCTTGACGCTGAAGGCAGAAGTGACTCTGAACTTCTGGTCTACTCAGAATATGTTTTGAAGAAACGTTTTCTCTTTCTGTCATAGCTGGTAATTTTGAAGACTAAGGTTAAGTGGTACTCTGGAGTTTTTATTTAAGTGAGTTCTGTTGAGAGCTGCTCTTAGAAAGAAGATTCATGTTTTTATGTTAAAGGTTGTATTTGGAACAGAGTGACTTTCATGAGAAGTTTGCTGGTGGAGATATACGTATGGATAGGTCGTCCGAATCTGTGACGTGCCAGACTTTTGAATTAACGCTGAGATCTTGCCTGTATCCTCATATTGACAAGCAGTATCTCCATTGCTGTGGAAACCTCATGCAAACGCTGAAAAAAGATTACAGGTATAAGGGAGTTTGGTTTTGGAAATAGTTGGTAGTTTATTGTACTTTAAGAACAGCTGAAATTATTTTAAAACCTGTATTTCAAGTTAATTTTTATTAGAGTAGGAGAGAGATATGCATTACACAATTTTCTTTTGAGAGAATCAATTAACCATTAATGGTTTCTTAACTCTGTTGTGAAATATAATTCTTTGTGTATCTGAGACTCTATCCCTAAAGAAAAACAGAAAAGGCTCAAAAATGCCCATCACAAAATCTGCTATCAATCAGAGGGAAAAACATGCAGTTACTTAGTAGTGGATGACAAGTTCTTTAAATTATGGCATACCCATGAACATGGTGTATCCATATCATGTGTGAACTTCTTAAAGTTCACACAAATTGTGTTTATACAGTTTTAAATAATGTAAAATGTCCTTAAAGCTTAAAAAGCAGGATCTATAACATGGTGAGAAATATATATATATATATATATNTGGGGAATTGGGGGAGGGAAACAGACAAGTTGCTGTCCTTTTGTTCTTCAGTCTAGTTGTGGAGGACATTGCTTCACTGGCCCATGTTGGTATTACTGCGCTCTTTTCGGGTGAGGCAGTCGCTCACCGGCCATTGGGTGGCTGCTCACAGCAGCTCACAAAAGCGCACACCAGCTGCTGGCTAGCCCCACTGCAGCCTATACCATCGCTGGTGACTCATGGCAGCTCAGCTCCAGGTCGAGCTGTTGTTCACCATCTTAGCTGTATAGGGCGCAGAGTCACTGGCCCACATGTGGGATCCAAACCGGGGCCCTGCTGCTCAGAGCTGGCGTCCCAAGCCAACTCTTAACCAACGCACCACTCGACCGGCCCAAGAACTATATATTTTTTAAATGTGCAGAAAAAAAGATTGGAAAGAAATAGTAATAGTGGAAATTTGCTAAGAATGGTAACATTTGCATTAACTCTTTTTGTTACACTTTTGTGACTATGACTACCCAATTTTCTACGTTATGGAAAAATAACTTCTTTCTGATTGTTAAAGTAAAACATGTACTATTTTTTTTACTAACTTAGTATTTGAGAGGTGTTAATATTTGTGATTTTAGTAAATGTAGAGTGTAAACCTGTGCATTGACGTGGCAGCAAAACCTGGTACTGACGCAGAATCCTGGCTCGTGTTGCTTGCTTCCTCTCCATTCAGGTTGGTGGAGTACTTGCAGGCCATGAGGAATTTCTTCTTAATGGAAGGTGGAGATACCATGTATGACTTCTACACCTCAATTTTTGATAAAATAAGAGAAAAGGAAACCTGGCAAAATGTGTCTTTTCTTAACGTCCAGCTCCAAGAAGCAGTAGGACAGCGTTATCCTGAAGATAGTTTACGGTAAAATATGGGAGGCACCTTTTATTTTAAATATTACAAAGTAATCCATGTGCTATGAACTCTTCTTTGCATTTTTATGTACATTATCTCATTTAATGTTCACAGTAACACTATGAATTTTACTAATGTTATTTTACATATTAGAAAACTGAGGCAGCGGGCAGCTAAGTGACTTGTCTGCAAAGCAAAAGAACACGATGATATTAGACCGAGTGGTCTGTCAGGCTCTGACGGCCTCCCTCACTTCACTGGAGTCAGTGCTGGCCATTGGCTGTGGCACCTCCCTGCTCCAATGGCCTCACCCTCCAGCAGGCTGCACTAGCCTAATGTATGGTAGTCTCAGGATGTGTTTTGAGGCAGCCCAAGCTCTAGGCCTGCAGACCCTCACGTCCCCATATGCTACTGTTGGTCAGACCGAGTCAGGAGTGGGAAATAGATTCCACCACTTAATGGGCAAAGTGAGCTTCCAATCTGTACGCTGCCTTATCCCTGCCGTGTTGCCAAGCAGCCCTTTGCTGCCTGTCAGCTGCCCACTGAGTATCTGGACCAGGTCTGTGGATTGGTGCCCCCAGAGCTTTGTGGAACAGATACCCTGCACCCTGCTTACTGGTCCTTCCTGTCCCATGTCCTTCTTAGCTATCTTTCTCATTTCCCTCAGCAGCCATTCAAAAGTAATAATGATAATAGTTAATCCATGTTAAGGCATTGCTGAGTGTGTACTGCTGAGTAGTAGATAAAATAATTCCTTTTATTTGTATTCATACTTTCATTACCTTTGCAGAATTTTCATCAATTATGTGGTTTCATAATAAGAGATTAGTGCCTAGCAACCCAGAGGGGGCCAAGAAAGGTTGTTTTTCAATATCTGTAGAAACTCATGGATTTTGTTAGTTTCAATCTATTAGTTACTTTTTTTGTTGCTCAGACTGTCCCAAAAATTTTTACCTAGAGGGCATCCCTTCATTGAGCCCAGTGGCGCGGGTGAGCACCCTGCTGTCGGAACTGATACCCAGGCTGGTCCAGGCCAGAGCGCCTCTTCCACCAGTACCCGTCTTGGTTATTTGGTGGCTTAAAAATCCCTCCATCTGGGCATGGGAGTATTCATGGGTCCTGGATTGTCACCACCTCTGGGCGCTCTAGACAGAGCTAGGAAATCTCTATGAAGAGAAAAATGAACCATAAGCTCATATTGACATTTCCAGTGTGTATTAGAGGTCACAGGGCCCACTTCTCTTGCTTCCTTTCATCTCTTCCTTTGCATGCTTACCAGCACATTAACATAACACGTATGGGTTTGAGTCTTCATAAATAGTAATGATCCCAAAGTGACAGCAGCAACAAGCCCACTGAGAGTTTAAAACGTGTGTGGTTATTTTCCTGTACTTTCAAGTTGTCACAATCCCATAGTTCAAGGTCACTTGGAATAACTCTCCCTGTGCTTTCACCACCAACTTGATACAGGGACAGGTTGGTTACTTTTAATTTATTTTCTACTTTTAGGATTTGCTTTCCCTGCCCCACCTTGATTCAATTTTGTTTTTTAATTAGGTAAAACAGCTATGTTTCTTTCTTTTTTTATTTTTTATTGGTGATTAGGGAAGGGGAGCAGCCAAGTTGTTTTCCTTCAGTCTTAGTTGTGGAGGGTGCAGCTAGCTATGTTTCTTAAGTTGAAATCATTGGTACAGAGGTACTTCTAGAGAAATCTGGCCTCTGTCCATCCCTGCCCATTTTCTCCTTCCCTGTAGGTGACCATTGTTAGATTTTATTTTATCCTCCTGTGTTTATAGGAACCAAAAATGTGTGTGTGTTCCTTTTCCTCCTCACACATCACACAAGAGGCAGCACACAGTGCACCCTCTCCAATGCCTGCTCCATTTCACTTACTCGAGTGACACATCCCAAACCCTCCTTGTCTGCAGGCCCTTACCGCTTGTCCTTTTGGGGAACATTTGGGCTTCTGATCTTTTGCTATGCACGTATACAGAAACTTGGAAGTATGTTTCCAGAATGCTGGGTGGAAGTTACCCTTACACGTGTGTGGAATTCTGAAGCTGTCCCCAAGCTGCTCTTCATGAAGGCCGTATCCTTATCCCACCAGCAGGGTGTAGAGCATTCCCCACAACCTCACTACACAGTGGCCACTCTGATGGTGAGAAATGGTATTGCAGTGTAGTTTTCATTTCCGGTTTTCTAATTATGAGGGAGCTTAGGTATCTTTCCAAATGCTCAGTTTTACATTTCTTCTAATGAGAACTATCCATATATTCTGACACTATTTCTGTCAGTATCAAGTTATCAGTCCTTATCCTCTCCATTTTTAGAAGCTCTTGATTTTGATTTCCCTGTTTGACATTTGTTTTTTTATTCTGCGTAGGGTATTACAATTTTTTGTTGCTGTTTTGTCATGTAGATTTTTTTAAGTTTTATATCAGTCTTTTATTATTTTGGGATTTTGAGCCATAGTTAGAGTTTTACTCCCTCCCTGGTTATAAACAAAATCACTCATTTTTTTCCTCTAACGCTTGAATGAATTTTTTTTATATTCAGATGTTGATCCATTTGGAATTTATCCAACTAAAAAAAAACATGAGAAATAGATCCAGGTATCTTTTTCCAAATGACTGGTTGGTCCCCATCACGAATTTCTTTTAAAAAAAGAAATTTATCTTTTTCACATTTATTTGAGACATCCCTTGATCTTTAAATTTTCATATGCACTTGGGTCTCTTCCTAGATTTTTCATCCTATTTCATTGTTCTGTTTATTCATGTGTCAGTAGCAATCTGTTTTTGTTTGTTTGTTTGTTTGTTTGTTTTTTTAAGATTTTATTGGGGAATTGGGGAAGGGAACAGTGTTGGGGAATTGGGGAGGGGAAAAGTGTTGAAGAATTGGGGAAAGGGAACAGCCAAGTTGCTGTCCTTCAATTTTAGTTGTGGAGGGCACAACTAGCTCAGCTCCAAGTCCAGTTGCCATCTGGCCACCCTTTGGCACCTTGCAGCAACTCAGCTCAAGGTGCCCTGTTCAATCTTGGTTGCGGGGGCGTTGAGGGCATGTCCCGTGGTAGTTGAACTAGCAATCTTGTTAAGATCACGCGGTTTCACCAACTGAATCATTGGGCCACTCATTGCAGCTTAGCTCGGGCGCAGCTCACTGGCCCATGTGGGAATCCAACTGGCGATCCTGTTGCTCAGAGCTCGCAGCACTCTTAACCACCTGAGCCACTCGGCCGGCCTCTGCTTATTTATTTTTCAAAATGTACTTTATCATCAACTTGCCTAGCTCCACCAAAACAAAAACCTTGATGGTATTTTTATTGAGGTTCATTCATGCATAGACTAACTCGGGACAAATGAGCCACCGTGAGGACCCTTTCTGCTATGGCTTCCAGGCACTTTGAGTGTGTGTCTGTGCTCTCAGGCTCCCGGAGTCCCAGCCAAGAGTCTCTGAGTCAGTTCCAGCACCAGTGCCAAGGTTGCCCCTAACTTGCGCCCCTCCCTGTCGCCCCTCGCCATCCACCCACCCCTAGCAAGCAGCTTCCTGCTCTGCCCCCTCAGCACCCATGCCTGAGGTGCCTCCATTCCCCTCTGATAGATGCAGCAGCCCCTGGGAACCAGTACCATTAGCTCCGGTGAGTGCACAGCCAGCCCCTCGTGACTGCTTGAATGTCAGTCATGCACCTAAAATGGAGCTCATGTTTTCTCACCCCTTTGTGTCTAGCCAGCAGCACGGTTCTCCCAGTGCCTGAAGGTGATCTGGGCTCACCCAGGACCACCCTGTCCTCACCCCCACACTCCCCTGGTTGGTCAGCTCTGCCTTACCTTGGTGCTCTCTCTAAAGCTCTCCTCTGACGCCTCCCGATTGGCTCTGTCTCAGCTTCTGTCCCTTCCGCTGAGCCTCACATGGCCACCAGCATGACCACAGTGAAGCAGCAGCTCCCTGCAGCACTCACACTCAGGCTCCTCATTGTGGCTTCAGAGCAGACTGGCTGAGATGCTCATGAGGGAACGCTTCTCCCCATGTCCCATGTTCCCAGTCCCTTTCTTGTGTGTGTAAACATGCAGACGTCATCTCTTTCTCCTTCCACATCTTACATGTCAGGTCTGGAACACTTCTGAATGCCCCATCACAGGAGCATTCACAGGGCCCACGTCCTCCAGTGATGTGCGCTCCCATTTGCACGACCTGGCAGTGGTCTGCTCTCCTCTAATACAAAGCTCTGCGTCCCCTCATGCAGGTGGGGTGACTCTGCATGTTTGCTCTGTGGTGTGAGCTCCCTGAGGGGCGAAGGGATCTATCATCTGTTTGGCTTGGCACCTGACAAATGAGGTATTCAGTGGGTGCCTATTAAGTACTTAGGGGACGCTCATGTAACAGACTTAGGAGCTAACAAATTTCTGACTAGTCCTGTGACATGGAATGAGTTAGTTAATTCGTAAATCACAGGCCGCCCTTTACCTCCCTGGTGGGGACTCACTTTGCCTCTGCCTCCCACAAAAACCTCCCGAGGTCCGCAGCTGGCAGCGTCACTCAGGGCCTCTGCAACCGTGGGTCAGTTACGTGATGGCTCAGTCCACTGACACGACTGCCCTGAGGAGTAAGTGAGGTGAGGACACTTAGGTGCCCCCGGAGTGCTGGGCACAGGGCCAGTTCTGTGTGTCGTCAGGTGCTGGCCTTCTACTGAGAGGCCCATTCAAACCAGCATTGGGAAAGCAGTACAAGCGACACCTTCGTGTAGGAAGCAGACCCACTCTTGTCACTGCACCTGCACGCTCCCTGGGCCAGGAGAGCAATCCCTTCACCGCCCTCAGCAGAGAGGCCCCCTTCTGAGCCTGTTGCCTGAATTTTACCAGAATTAAGCGCCCAGCCTATTATAGTTATGTCTTCTTCCCTGACTTCGTCCTTTTTCCTAATTGACTGACTACAATTGTTAAGTAC